TCGTGTTCAGGAGCCCATAGGGGCTAGAAAGAGGCCCTGGATTGCAAGAATGGAGATATAGACAGTTGTGTGTTACTGTGTAGGTGCTGAGAACTGAATGTGGGTTCCTTCAGTGATGGAATTAATGAGGTGACACAAGGCTCAGATGATACGGAGCCAAGAATGGTTTAAATACCCCTCATGGACCCCCCCCACCCGCCGCCGCCGCCCCAGCAGCTTTACCTTCCAAGATCTGTACTCCATCCAGCAATTAGGTCTCCTGACAACCACTGGTAGGTGCTCATAACCATCACTGAGCCATCTTTCCATCCCCAACAAAAATCCTTTTTGTCAGGTACAAAGTTTTGTAAATTCTAGGCAGGCTGCCTTTTGAGGACAAAACTTCATTGGTTATAGAAGCAAAGGTAAGTGAGGCATTCCTCTATGATCTTCAGTTTAAGAAACCAGAGAGCACTTGGGTAGTGTGTGTGTGTGTGTGTGTGTGTGTGTGTGTGTGTGTGTGATATCTTTGTGTGCCGCTCATTGCCAGTATGGATGTGTGTATCTGAGCACATGCATGCAGAGGTCAGAGCAAAATTTCAAGTGTTTTCCACTATGCCTTTCCGCCCTCCAGCCTTCAATAGAGTCTGCCACTGAACTAGAAGCTTGCCATTGACTGGCAGGGAGCTCAAGTGTCTGCCCTCTCAATGTTGGGGTTGCAGGCATACAACCCAAGTTATAATACAGATTGTAGCCATGCCTGACTTTGTACCTGGATGCTGGGTATTCTCATGTTTGTAAAGGGAGTTCTCTTATCAACTGCTTTCTTCCCATACTCTTTCCAATCCTAATACATTAATCACAATTAATCTTAAAATAAGGTAAAATAAATAAAATTATACTTGTAAGTAAAGTCAGAGTGGACTACATCGAAGCCTTATGAGGCAAAAGGAAAAGCTGGGATGACCAATCCTGTATTAGTCAGATGTTTGTGTTTCTGTGACAGAGTAAGTTATGGAAATGACTGGAAGTGATAGATTTACTTTGCTCATAGATTGAGAAGTGTCAGTTCATGATGGAAGCCACCCACGTTGTCTGGGCCTGGATACGGATAAGGGAATAGAAGGGGCTGAGGCAAAGTTTACCTCTCCAGGACATAGCCCCAGTGATTACTACCTCCCATACAAGCCCCACATCCAAGTGTTCATCATCCACAATTATGGCATAATATATGAACCCACCAGGGATTAATCTATTGATTAGGTAAGAGCCTCATGAACTAATCCTCTCATAGACAAATCCAGAAGTGTGCATTACTAATCTAGAGTTTTGTCAGCCCTGCAACAGTGGCAGTCCAGATTAACCATTGCAGATCCTGTCTAAAAGACCACAGGAAGATGGAGTGTAAATGTAGGACCACATTCGCCCTACTAATAGTGTAACATTGCTCTGGGTCGTGATACTGATACTCATCACTCTTTTCCTGCCATAGGGATGTTCTAATATCTCCATCACTGTGGCAATATGCCATCCTCTTCAACCGATTCAATTATCCCCTTGAGCTGGAAAAGGACTTACATTTGAGGGGCTATCACCCAATCCTTCAAGGGTCCTTACCGTATTACCCTAAATCAATGAAGTGTTACCTCAGCCGAACTCCAGACAGAATGCCTTCAGAACGACATCAGCCTGGAAACTTGAAAAGGTACTACCTCCTCAACGCTGCTTCTCTCCTCCCAGTCCTGGCTCTGGAACTGAGTGATGGGGAGACCGTTCTGGACCTGTGTGCTGCTCCGGGAGGCAAATCGGTAGCTCTGCTTCAGTGTGCTTACCCAGGTACTGTCTGTGCTCGCCACACCACACATTTGTTTCGCGTCGGAGGGCTTCACATCTTTTGAAAATACATGAAGAGAAATGTGAGCCTGAGTCTTCAGAGTTAGGAAGCCTGAGTATGAGTTAGGATACCGTGAGTAAGAGTGAAAAATGTAGTTGAGGAAGTCCATGTAAAGAGTATAATAGTTCCCCAGGTGTCTGGGAGCACAGACCTTTCAGAGACTATGAGAGTGTGCTCATAAGCTAATTGTGTAGGGCTTGAGATCTTCATTTGCTTTTTGGGCTTAGTTTCACTGGGGATGGCACTCAGGGCTTCTCTCAGGCTAAGTAAGTCCTCTCCCACTGAGCTCCTTGTACTTGAGAGGTTTGTCTGGATGCCATTGTCAGAGCTCTTGGTCAAACCACGCAAATCCATTTAAAACCATTTTGTTCTGTGATTCCTTAGACTGTGTGGTTCTAACACACTTGGTTCGGTAGATGTATACTATGAAACATATACACAACTTAAAATTTTTGAATATTCTCACTTGAAAAAGTAGTAAGAGGTGAAATTAATTTGACATTTTTCAGAAGAATAAGGTAGTGACCCTTGAGCACATAGTCACAATAAAGATGTTTGCGGAGGTATTTTACGCTCTCAATTTTCTTAGAGGTCTTTGAAATTAGCTATTTTAATCTTCGAGCACAGGTCAGGTTCTCATAACCATATATGACAAGAGAAGATAGTATTAAACAATGGAGTAAGTTCTCATAACCACATATGACAAGAGAAGATAGTATTAAACAATGGAGTAAGTTCTTTTATAGTGACTATTATTGTTGCTAATATTGGTGTAAGTCCAGGGGCTGGGAATCTGTCTCAGTCAGTATGGTATTTGCCATGGAAACGTAAGGAGCTGATAAGCTTGGATTCACAGCTCTCACATTTAGAAGGAAATGCAGTGCCTGTTGGTTTGTGCCTGTAATCTTAGCACTGAGGAGATCCGGGAAGGTCCCCGGGTCTATGGTGGAGAGCTATGGACAAAGACCGATACCCAAAGTCAACCTCTGCCCCCTCTACGTGCTTGCTCAGCCACACATGTGTGCACACACATGAGCATGTATACACACATGTACACACACAAACTATTTCAATAGGTGATCATTTTGCTAAAACTTTTAAAACCCTAACTGATGTTTCTCTGAATGTTAGTTATTGCTAGATGAGGCAGAGCTCAGTTCCAGTTCAGTTTGGTTGTGTTTTATGATCTTACTTTTATTTATTGTTCACAGTTAAAAAAAAAAAAAAAAAAAAACCAGAAATACTGAGAGCTGTGCTCTACTCATTACATTGGTTGTTTAAATTCCTTCTGAGTTATGGTTGCAAACTCCTAGGTGCAGCAGGCATTATTCAATGATCTGTTAGGTGAGCACTCTTTAAAATGTGTTCAGCTTTTCAACAGTAAATTTGAAGCCCATTCATTTACTTGCTTCGTTGTTAACACATCACTCTTTCAACAAAGAAGTCACTGATTTTTTTTCTTTAAAAAAATAGATTGTGTGTATGTGTGTCTGTGTGTCTGTATACATGCACACACACACACACACACACACACACACACACACACAGAGGTCAGAAGGGAGAAAGAATAGGTGAAGCTGGCAGGCAGAGAAAATAAATAGGAGAAAAAATTCTGGGAGGAGAGGATTGAGAGGAGGAGGAAGAGGGGAGGACTCCAGGGACCAACCACCCAGCTACACAGCCAGCCATGGGGTAAGTGAAAGTAAGATATACAGAAGTAAGAGAAAGATAAAAGCCCAAAGGCAAAAGGTAGAAGGGATAATGTAAGTTAAGAAAAGCTGCCTAGACATAAGTCAAGCTAAGGCCGAACTTTTATAAGTAATAATAAGCCTCTGATTTATTTGGGAGCTGGGTGAAAGGCTTCTCAAAAAGCCAAAGAGTAAAAATAACCAACTACAACGGAAGCAGCTGTGAGCTACCAGATGTGCACACTTGAACTTTGGACTTTTGCAAGAGCAGCAAGAGCTCTTACCAGCTGAGCCTTGTCTCCAGCCTCTTAGTGTTTCAAACTGTACTTCGTTGATGTACTGGAGGTTTCTGAACTCTAGCACATTAACTTAAGATTACGTATGAGGGAGAAGCTTGCTTTTGTTTGTAAAGCTGGTGAATTGCCATGTGGAAGGAGATGTCCTCAGGAAGTGGATGATCTGAAAAGCAATTTGTTCAGATCCTCCAAGTTTGCCTGCCTTTTTCTCCAGGACATGCATCTTCTAGCTTGTAGACTGCTAATTTATTTCTTCCTTTGAGAACATTTGCTGTTGGAATATAAATTTGGGGAAACATATTCAAAATGTGAAGCCAGTTGTATTTGGCTGTGGTACAGATATATTGTTATTTAAGAGGAAAAAAGAAAAAAAAAAACACCATATGTTTTAGATTTCTAACAAACTCTGTGACTGCAGCTTTCTGTATTTTGGTTTAAGAAATAAAAATAAATACTAAGGCTCTATTTTAGTATGGCTACATTATTAGTTTTATAGCTTGTGCTTTTGTGAAATCATTTATTATAAGGAATATTTGTTTTACACCCACTCTTTCCGTGTTCCTTGATGATGTTCTTATATTGAGTCTTACAAGCTTATTAATTTTACCATAGAATGTTTAATATTGTAAAAGATGGGAGAGAAATTTATAAACCTAGTTCCATGTTAACAACTTGCATTTTAATCTTAAACTACCTCATTCGTAGGTTATAGATATTTGACACATTTGTAGTGAGGACGATAATTGGCTTGGGAACCCAAAGGTTATAAACTGATAACATTCTAGGACTCTGAAGATAGGGAAAGTCTTCATCAAGGTCAGTGAACTACCAGTAATGCTCCAAATGAAGTAGCTTTTCATCTAAGTAGACTAACGATAATGGTTCCCTCCGAGACACTGATGTCTTCATGGTGCTGTTTAAAGCCCACATTAAGGTAGCCACACTATTCAAATGTGGAAAGCAGAAGGGATGCTAGTCACTGCTTCTGTAAGCAAAACTTAAAATGAAGGCCACACTAAATGTGCAATTTATACACTGAATTTCATTACATCCACATTGGACATTATTCTAGCCAACATGGCTCATGGCTTTGGAATACAAATGTGTTTAATGTGATTAAAGAATTAGTATGCTAGTCTGTCTGCTGATCCAGACAGATGTGGTATTGCTTTCACCCGCACCATGGTGATGGCCTGGCTTTTTTAAATGCTCAGTATTATCATTAACACATGGTTTGCAGTGTGCTGGTTTTTACTGAAAAAAAGCAAATAGTTGTGATTATAAATAGTAAAACATGAACTGTTAGCCATGGATGATGCAGCTTAATGGAGTGGCATGGTCAACTTCTGCAGCGGGACTGTAGCCTTTCTAGAGTGACATTATCCTTGCTGCCAGCAGTAAGATTTAGCCATCTGGTTAACATTTGGTAGTAGGAAATATTAGAGTGAACTCTTTGTTTAATTATATTTGTCCTGTTATCTACTCCCTCATTTCTGTTGGACTTTTTTTCACATTTCTGTTGTATTTAGTATTATCTCTTTATTCAACCTTTGAGGGCTCATTCATAAAATACCTCAAGGTGAATTTGGTTGCATTGGATCTGATGTGAGCATAGACATCCCTGCATCTGGATTCCTGTATCCTTCTCTAGGTTTGGGGAGATTTCTCGTGAAGTCTGTTCCACCCCACTGGCATTCTCACTTCCATCATGAACCCGTGCAACTCATACATTTGCTCTTTCAATGGTAACCCCCAATTTGCACAGGCTTACTTCATTTCTCCCCTTTGTATTTACTTTCTCCAACAGTATATTTCCAAGTAATCTGGTTTCAAGGCAACTGACATTTTGTTGATGTTGTGAGATCTGTTCTGCTGTTGCTGCCTTATAGTGCATTTAAATATTTGATGTTTTTGACAGTCACTTTAATCTGTCGTTTCTCTGCTTAGGTATTAAGTTGCTTCTCTGGGTTTTCTGAAGCTTACGGAGTTTCCCTAAAAGTGCCACACTAGCTCTTTCTATTAGTCAGGGGATGCTTGTTTTACCATCAGTTTCTTGTCTTATTTGATCCAGAAGTCTTGGTCATGATTCTGTGTATTCTGATGCTTGACCTATGACATAGTCTCTGCATAAACACGAGATCTTGGTAATCTAGCTGTGTTTGTGCCTGCTCTTTCAGATTTGCTTTTGTCTGTGGATCTTTCTGGTACTTAGCACTAGATGGCACCCCGAGTCTAGGTTTATCACAGTTCCCACTACTGGGTTTTTTTCTTGTTGCAGTAGCTGCTGGTTCAGCTCCCTGATTCCCCAAGCCTCATTTTGTCACGTATCTTCAGTAGGCATACAGTTTAGAATGAACTAGAGCAGTGCCAAAATGGAGTAGTTTGTCCTGACAAACCTTACTCCAAGACTGGAGTAGGCCCATGTGCCTCAGCTGCAGTCACTGGCCTATGGTCAGGCAATATATCTGCCACACTTATTTTGGTGGTTTGCTGTATACCTCCCTTCTCTTTCCTTAAAAACAAAACAAAACAAAACAAAACAGAAAAACACCCTTCCCCCATCAGTCTCCCTACCTACCTATCTTTGGGTCTTTCCATAGATTTGTGTATACATACATGTGTGTGTTGGGGACACACATGTACTCCTGTCAGGCACATGTACTCTTGTAGAGGTCAAATTACTTGACTTGCAGGAGTCAGTTGTCAGCATGTGTTCCTGGGGCTCAACTTTGCTGAGTTCCTTGTCTCCTTCCTCTGCACCTGGATGGCTCACTCTCAGGTTGTCAGGCTTAGTGGCCAACTCCTTTACTCACTGACCGTTTGTCTAGCCCAGTACCTCCCTTTACTGGCCTTGACATAGACAGCTGCTTCCTCTGATTTGTCTGTACTCGGGGAGGAGATGGAGTTGATAGTTGCACAGTTAAAAACACTGCAACCTGGGATTATACAGAGTGTGTACATAGCCTTCCAAGACCAGCGTAGCACAGAGACACTGAGACCTGCATTGCTATGTGCTGTCTGAGGCGAGTTTATGTCAACTCAGAGTCTGAAACATCTGTATCCAGCCACAAGAGATGCTGGCTAGGTTACAAGTTCAGTTGAAGTTGGCATTAGCTTAGGTTTAGGAGCTCTGTCCATAGGCATTGGCCTGTAGACTAGGATTGTTAGAATCTGCCCCATATTAGTTGTACAAGCTTGGCACTGGGTTCTTGCATCAATTTTAACACATTAGTAACAACCTCAGCATACTTTACATGCATCTGCGTTGCATTAAGGAGAAGAAATCAGAACACACTGCCCTTTGGGTAGTTTTACCAAGAGCAAACCCAGATCTGAATTCTCTGCTTCTCTCTCCCTGTGTTGTCCATCATCTCTCCTGTCCGTAATCTGTATGTTATATGTGTCTGAGTATGTGCTTGCCAGACTGCTGTCTTGTTTTTTTCTGTCCTTGTGTCTGTGTCTGTGCCTGTATCCCTAACAAGGAGCTTTGCTCTGTATTTATTTGAACAGCACAGGAAAACATCACATGGGAAGGAATGAGGGATACTGAATTTTCTTTAAACAGGGTTTTACTGACTCCAACAGACACGAGCTAACTCAGATAACAACAATACTACAAGCATCATTGCAAACAGACTTTTCAACCTAAATCCACGACACTTTCACTATTTGTTGTGAATATTTGCTTTATAAGGTTGCCTTGCATCTATTTGGGTTTTTTTTGTCAGTATTTAGTACCTACCATAACATACATATACATAAGCATTACTTGTGGGTCAGGGGCATGAAAGTGTATTTGTTTTATGATTAAAGCTATGTGCCGTGTGACGTTGGTGGCACACGCCTTTAATTCCAGCACTTGGGAGGCAGAGGCAGGAGGATCTCTGTGAGTTGGAGGCCAGCCTGGTCTCCAGAGCGAGTGCCAGGATAGGCTCCAAAGCTACACAGAGAAACCCTGTCTCGAAAAACCAAAAACAAAACAAAACAAAAAAAGCTATGCATCTGCTTAGATTATAAAAGCTGCTGATGTAAGAAGTCCACCACTGCCCAGCAAGTATAGCAGTCTAAGGGATCTCAAAGTGTATTTATTATTAACTTCGCCTGCAAAAGTAAGACTTTTTCAATGTAGGGGATATGTCATATTGTTACCATCACAAGTTCTAAGGGAAAGTCCTATACTCACTTCTCTGTCATACCTGCCACAAGGATGGATAAGTCCTGTTTTTGCCTGTGCTCTCCAAAGTTGTGGAAGGAGTAGTACAGTTAGACCCTGGTCTCCCAGGCTTGATGTTCAGCTAGGTTATATCTTGAGTTTCACAGCAATAGGTACCTGAATAGTCTCAATCGTGTATTTATTTGGTGATGCTGTACACACAAGTGTGCCCCACAGGTCAAAGTCTTCACCTGACACCAAACAGGTCCCAGGGCTCCATTTCTGAGCCCTGGCCTGGGGCTAGGATACTTAGATCTACTGTGACAGTCTCAACAGGGTGCTCCCAGGCAAAGTCCTACGTTCAGCTTGCTGCCTGACTTCCAAGTGCTTGGAGTCTCCTTTCCTGTTCTGCTTCCTGAGGTTGGTGGGGGAGTGATGGCGGCAGCATCTATCTGCCTAGCTAAGGAGAAAATACAGTCGCAGTCTGCAGGAACTAGCCTAGGTGCACGAGTTGTAAGACTGTGTCTGGCACAGGGTTCCATTGTGGCAGGTTATGTTAGTTGTTTTCATGGCAAAGTCTGCAGTTCATTTCTTTCCCCTCCCCCAGTGAGGAGGAATCTCTCATCACACAGCCTGGCAGTGGAGGGGTGTAGACAAGGATGCCACTTTCTTTTCGTCCTTCTTCTCTTCCTCCTCTGTGCTAAGACCAGACACTGCCTCTCACCTGACTCCCCATGCCCTTAAGCCAGTGTCTCTGTGGGGAGGCCACCACTTCTTCAGCCACCATTTTGTTCTCTGCTTCTGTCATAACAACCACTATGCCAGTATGATCCCCATGTTACCAGTCGACAACAAGGTAACACAGCTGTAATAGAATTAAACAACTTTCCTAGGTTCTCAGCTCACAGTTTAAACTCGGGTTTTCCTTACTGGTAGCTTATATACTTGCCCATTTTTATGTGGCATCATTACTATTTCCTTCATTTAAAATGAATGTGCTGTACCAGCAAGGAACTTTGCATCCCTATCAGAATACATTGCCTACTCTCAACAGCTGGTACTTCAGGGTGAAAATTACACATGAGGTATTGTTTGTGCAGCATCTCTAGGAATCTCTTAAGTTTTCACATCCCAAATTAAACCTGATTGAATAAGTGTGAGAGCTTCAGAGAGGATGTGAGGCATAACATGGCAAACATTTTAAAAAGATGCATTTTTGTGTTTAAAGTTATCAGCATGCTTACTTCTGAGCCCTGTCTCTATATTAAACTCCCAAGGCCTGATTTTTCTGAAGTGTATCTGCTACAAAGTAAAAATTTCCCAATGATACTGCCTTGGACTAACTCGGAACTTTTTTAATCCTTGATATTTAGGTTATCTTCTTTGTAACGAATATGATAGTCTGAGAGTGAGATGGCTGAGACAGACATTGGAATCTTTCATCCCACAATCTTTGACAAATGCAATTAAAGTGTCGGAATTGGACGGCAGAGAAATGGGAGCTGCCCAGCCTGAAGTGTTTGACAAGGTACTTTTATTGTACTGTGAAAAGCTGGCAGACTCCCGGTGATATGGTATTGTGTTCTCTGTTGTTCTTCACCTTCTGCTTCTAGATGGTGTACTTTCTCAGTGTTCTGGGAGATCTTGATAAAGTGGTTAAGGCATTTTTCATTTGATGGTTAGAACGGTTCAATGGAAACAGCGACACTGGGTTTGGGGATTATAGAATGTCTTCTATTTTCTGGTACCTCAAAGTTACTCTGGAAATGACCAGTTATCATTTGAGCCAGTAAAAAACATTTGTACATTTTACTTTAATTCAGTAACATTTCCTATCAGAGTATTATAGATGAAGAAAAGCCATTTCAGTAAATTAAAATTGAATTTCTAATTCATAAAAATAAACACTGGACCCTGTGTTCAGCCTTCAACAATATAAAATTTTAGTAGGGTAAAAAAAATACTGTGAGTTCAGAAGTACAGTTATGTTTTCTGGAGATAAGTAACTTTTGTAAGTTTTAGTTGTGGTCATGAAGAATATTAAATTCGTCCAGGCATGATGGTACCTGCCTTTGAAAGTAGAGGCAGGGGGATCTCTGAGTTTGAGGCCAGCTTGGTCTACAGAGTGAGTTCCAGTACAGCCAGGGCTACACAGAGAAACCCTGACCTGAAAACCCAAAACAGAAAAGAATATTAAATTCTAATAATAGACATCAATAGGTACTTGGTTTGTAATGTTCCCTCTCTCTATTCAAATAAACACTAGCACCACATAGGAAAAACTTTCTGTAAATTATCGGAGCCAAATATACCAAAGGACTTAGCGTGTCATGTGTTTGGGTCCCTAAGGCAGTGGTTTTTATTTATGTGCTGTTTGTCATGCAGCTGCTCCATGTACCTCATCCTAAGTATTTTTGCATTGTTTGTCTTTGTTTTCTCCAGGTGTTAGTTGATGCTCCGTGTTCAAATGATCGAAGCTGGCTGTTCTCGTCTGATTCTCAGAAGGCTGCCTGTAGGATCCATCAGAGGAACAATTTGCCCGTCCTACAGGTAGAACTCTTAAGGTGAGGACTATTTATTCAGAAGCTTATTTGGGTCCTGGATACAATTTAAATAGCTGCAGCCAAGCATGGAAGGCAGGCAAGTGGAAAGCTGCTTCGTCCTTCAAGGTGTTCTGATTAATTCCTCCGAAGGTTGCAAGCAAAAAACTCCAGGCCTTCTTTCAGGATGTGAGTAGGCAGTGAGGCTTCTGGAGAACTTTCCCTTTTACTTTCTTTCTTTCTTTCTTTCTTTCTTTCTTTCTTATTTTTTTTTTTT